GAACACACACACACACACACACACACACACACACACACACACACACACACACTCACACACACGCAAACGCTTCAGAGACTCAACACTAAACACACCGTTTCGATCCCGAGAGCTCGCATCTGATCGGCGCGTTTCTCTGCGATGGTGAGGAACTTCTTTGGATCAGAAAGAGCGTCAACGATGGCTGGAAAACACACAATCACAGCTGATATCAGTCACCATGAGACAAAAACACAACTAAATCCAGCAGAAGGTGATTCCAGTTCCACTGCGTCACATGATCATATACTCAACTAATTACAAAAACTGCAAACAGCATCTAGTCAGGCTCAGAGAGGGAAAAAAAACAATTACATTTAAATATTTAAATCCCCTCAGAATGATGAATAAATTATAAAGACTGAAACTGAACGGCATGTATATATATATGTGTGTGTGTATGCAAGCATATGCATGTATATATGTAATCTTCCTGTGTATCATACATATTTTATAGATTTGATTATTTTCATTAGTACTTCCCTTTTGTCTATTTTTAATTTAATTCAATTTTAGTTTTTTCTCACCTATGTATCATAAAAATTGTAAATCATTAAAAAAATAAATCAAGTCAAGTCACGTCTCCTTTCTATAGAGCTTTATACAATACTGATTGAGTGAAAGCAGCTTTACAGTGTTAAACAGAAAAATGTGCTGATAATGCAAGAGCACAACAGAAAACAGTTTATCAGTTAAAGTCAGTTCATTGTTGATTCAGAGTCATCAAATGAACAAACACTCAGTTACAGAGTAATAGAGTCTTTGCGTCTCGCTGGACGAGCGGTTGTGAGCGTCAGCCGCTGCACCCGTGATGTCACTTCCTGTCACTGTCAGTGCAGCCACAGGCATGATGGGTGTAGGCGTGATCAACATGAACACGCGTGTGTGTGTGTGCTCACCGCCGAAGCCATCTGGCACATATGTCTTCAGGACGATGTTGCAGAAGACGGTGGGCAGTGACAGCGGCTTGTTCCCCTCGTTGCGCAGCGAGATGTGTCGGTAACCCGCCTGCAGTCCGTCTAGCGGCAGGATCCTCTGACCGATCAGCTTGTTGTTGTCGTCGTACACAGCGATGCGCAGCACGGCCAGATCCGGCAGGATCACCTGACCACAGATGAGAGAGAGATCACATGATCAACGGTCAGTCTGACCACAGATTCAGGACTGAAGCAGGTCAAACACAGAGACATGATGGGATATGACATGCGCTGCTCACAACATTACTGATTTGTAAAAACAGTCTAAAAATGAAGCAAATAAAGATTTTTTTCACAAATGCAGAGTTTTCTGTTAGTGTGTGGGTGTTTTATAAAAGTTGATATTACTTTAACTTGAGTGTCGCGTTTGTAGAACACTGTCACTCACAGCATGCATGTGAGTGTGTACGCGAGTCTGTTTGAGAGTGTGTGTGAGTGTGTGTGTGTGTGTGAGAGAGTGTGTGTGTGTGTGTGTGTGTGAGAGAGAGAGAGTGTGTGTGTAGTGGCACTGCTGATTTATGGTCTGTGTCTGTGGTGTCAGTGTCACGGTCGAGAGACGCCAACATCCTGCTGCATCAGCACAAAGTCCCGTGTGTGTCTGTGTGTGTGAGAGAGAGAGAGAGAGAGAGAGAGAGTGTTTGTGTCTCTCTCTGTGTCTCCTTACAGCGGCTGTAATTGCCGCCCATCATTGTACACAGATGAGGGGAAATGAACATGATGAGGAGTACATTACACACACACACACACACACACACAAAGACACACTCAACCTCTAATTCTCAAACTTCAAGCAGCTCAAACTCTCTTTCATCAACAAAATGAACAAACTGATTTCTGTCAATAACTGCATCTTCAGCAAATGCAGCTCAGATGATCTGGAGAGCAACCTGCTCAAACCTTCATCTAACATTCATCAAGCGCTCATCTAACGCTCAAACATTCATCTAACGCTCATCAAATGTTCATCTAATGCTCAAACGTTCATCTAACGCTCATCAAACACTCATCTAATGCTCAAACGTTCATCTAACACTTATCTAACGTTCATCTAACGCTCATCAAAAACACCCATCTAACGCTCAAACGTTCATCGAACGCTCATCAAATGCTCATCTAACGCTCAAACGTTCATCTAACACTTATCTAATGTTCATCTAACGCTCAAACGTTCATCTAATACTTATCTAACATTCATCTAACGCTCATCAAAAATGCCCATCTAACGCTCAAACGTTCATCTAACACTTATCTAACGTTCATCTAATGCTCATCAAATGCTCATCTAACACTCAAAAGTTCATCTAACGCTCATCAAACGTTCATCTAACACTTATCAAACGTTCATCTAACGCTCAAATGCTCATCTAATGCTCAAACGTTCATCTAACATTAATCAAACGTTCATCTAACACTTATCAAACGTTCATCTAATGCTCATCAAATGCTCATCTAACACTCAAAAGTTCATCTAACGCTCAAAAGCTCATGTAACGCTCACCTAACATTCATCAAACATTCACCTAACATTCATCAAACGTTCGTCTAACGCTCAAACGTTCATCTAACGCTCATCAAACGTTCATCTAACACTTATCAAACGTTCATCTAACGCTCAAATGCTCATCTAATGCTCAAACGTTCATCTAACATTAATCAAACGTTCATCTAACGCTCAAATGTTCATCTAACACTTATCAAACGTGCATCTAACATTCATCAAACGTTCATCTAACGCTCAAATGCTCATCTAATGCTCAAACGTTCATCTAACATTCATCAAATGTTCATCTAACACTTTTCAAACGTTCATCTAACGCTCAAATGCTCATCTAATGCTCAAACGTTCATCTAACATTCATCAAATGTTCATCTAACACTTTTCAAACGTTCATCTAACGCTCAAATGCTCATCTAATGCTCAAACGTTCATCTAACATTCATCAAACGTTCATCTAATGCTCAAAAGCTCATGTAACGCTCACCTAACATTCATCAAACATTCACCTAACATTCATCAAACGTTCATCTAACGCTCAAACGCTCACCTATCATTCATCAAACGTTCATCTAACGCTCAAACGCTCATCTAACGCTCAAACATTCATCTAACGCTCATCAAACGTTCATCTAACGCTCAAACGCTCATCTAACGCTCAAACGTTCATCTAACGCTCATCAAACTTTCATCTAACGCTCAAACGTTCATCTAACACTTATCAAACGTACATCTAACGCTCAAATGCTCATCTAATGCTCAAACGTTCATCTATCATTCATCAAACGTTCATCTAACGCTCCAATGTTCATCTAACATTCATCAAACGTTCATCTAATGCTCAAACGCTCACCTATCATTCATCAAACGTTCATCTCACGCTCAAACGTTTATCTAACATTCAGCAAACGTTCAGCTTACAGTAAACTGTGATGAATAATTTTAAAGCATCATTCTGAACTGATTCATGTGCGGCTTCATGACTTTTGATTCATATTTCCATATTTGCTGACTGAATGAATCACTAACAAAAGAACTGACCGCTTTAAACTAAAACAAAACTGAGTTATCCAAACAAACTAAAATTAAATACTGAGAATAACGAAAACAAGTGGAAAAAATATCCAGTGCAATCTTCTGAAGCAGAATCACGTGAGTGAACATGTGAAGATGTCAGACCTTCCTGAAGACGAAGGGCTCCTCGTTGTAGTACGGGTTCAGGCCGTTGTTCATCACCATACGTGTGCGGAACTCTTTCCGGATGGTGTCGGTGGGAAGGCCGTACATGTCCACCTCCACATACGTGCCGATCTTCTTATCCGATAAGAACTGACCCGAGAACACCTGAGGAACGACACGGACACGAAGCGTCAGTCAGAGCGGCTGCGAGACTGATCCAGGAACAGTTCACACGACTGACTCACTTCATCATTCATTCAATGACAGAGTCATCTCAGTGATTCACAGAGTCGTGTCACACTTCTGTAGTCACCTTTATTTCTATAGTGCTTTCTACAATACTGATTGTTTCAAAGCAGCTTTACAGAGTCAAACAGGAAAATAAATGCAAGAAGACAATAACAAAGAGTCCTTTTTTGTAGTCATTTACAGGGCTTTGAACTGTTGAGTTTTTCATGCTCTTTCCCTCAGACTGTTACTACTGTACCTTTATGTCAAGTTCAGTTTGAAAATCCTAATTATCAGACACACATCCAAGTGTTTTCTAAAGTACCGAGACAGATTTAGGTAATGGCAGTTTTGTAAGCGCGAGTACAGAATTCTCAGAGAGCACCAGTGAAGATTCGATCGGTTGTTTTAACTGAAAAACAGCCGGTCATCAACACTATGTTTATTATTGTCCAAATGTAATTATTTTAGCTATTATTTTAGAAATACAGAGTATGGCTTTAATTTCGACTAGTATTATCTCTGATTTAAGGCAAAAATATTATATTGTCCTGCAATTCCTTAATTTGGTTGAAAATTACTTATATTTTGATAAATATTCAGGTCATAAATTACTCGTGGTATAGTTTCTGGTTGAAAATTACACTATATTGCGGTAAAGGTTTTGGTCATATTGCCCACCTTTAAGTAGTTTAAACGGAGCTGCTAGAAACTCAACACATAATGCTTGAGCAGCCAGAGACGACTGAGGAAAGGAACGAAAAACTCCATTTTGTTGGAGAAATAAAATACATCTGTGTTGTAAATGAGCTCTGATTGATGAATGTGTGGAGGTTCATGTGTTTACTGCAGCCAGAGTGTTTGCTTTGATGAAAACTGAGGTTCTGTTCAGTGATCTCACGTGTGTGTGTGTGTGTGTGTGTGTGTGTGTGAGTGTATGTGTGTGTGTGAGAGTGTGTGTGCGTGTGAGTGTGTGTGTGAGCGTGTGTGAGTGTATGTGTGTGAGTGAGTGTATGTGTGTATATGAGTGTGTGTGAGTGTATGAGTGTGTGTGAGTGTATGTGTGTGTGTGTGTGAGTGTGAGTGTGTGTGTGTGTGTGTGGCTGCAGGTCGCTGCTATCACTCCATCTACTGGCGTCTCAGAGAACGGGTCGAACATTCTGTCAGCGCGGCGCATGAAGTCTGGTTTCAGGAGGTACCTGTAGGAGAGAGTTGCAGGAATTACTGCAGCATCTTGAGAGAAACAAAGCTCTCTGTCGCTCGTCCACACCATCCATCTGTTCAGACTCGTTCTCTCAGAGCTGCGCCTCAAGGCCAGATATTAATTATTTTTCTGATTA